TACAAACTCTAAAATATCTTATAATGAAAATTTAATGGACAAAATCTAAAAGCAAAACTTGTGTTAGATGGAGTGTGAGTTTCATCTAAAAATTTGACAAAACACAATGACAACAACAAAACCTTTATTCCACTAAGTGGGGTCAGCTACATGAATCCGTTTTCTCCATTGTGTCCAATTTAGTGTCATATTTTCATTTAGTTCTAATAAATTAATATAATTTTTTATACAATATGCCCAAGTTTTTTTAGGTCTACCGCTTCCTTTCTTAACATAAGTCGAATCTAAAACATTTACTCTTTTAATCAGATCAGCTGATGGTAAACAATGTTGTGACCAAACCATCCAAGACGACTCTCTCTACTTTTGTCCATCACCAGAGCTATACCAACCACCCTATCACGAGTATATTCATTTCACATTTTTCTCCGAGTGTAGAGCCACTCATCCATCGAGTATTTTCAATTTGCTCATCTCGACAACACTTAATTTAGTTTTATGCTTTTTTTTTAAAAGGCTTAAAAGGCCAACCATAGAGCATTGCCGGTCTTACCACCATCTTATAAAATTTTCCTTTCAGTTTAAGTGGTACTTTTCTATCACACTATAGGCTCAAAGCATTCCTCCACTTCAGCCAACCAACTTGAATTCTACTAATAACATCCCCATCAATATGGCCATCACTTTGAAAAATAGATCCGAGATATCGAAAGCGTTCACATCTTTTAATAATTTGATCACCCATAGTTACATTTCTGTGACTAGAGCTACTACTACTACTTCTAAAATTACATTCAATGTATTCAGTTTTTAGTTCTACTCAAACGAAGGCCTTTCGACTCTTAGGTAGACCTCCATATTCCATTGTAGACCTCCATAATTCAAGTTTTTCCAGAGCTTTTTCTCTCGTCTTATCCACTAAAAGGATATCATCAACAAAAAACATACACCAAAGTACATCCTCCTGTAAGTTCCCGGTAAGACCATCCATTACTCAAGCAAAAAGATATGGGCTTAAAGCCGATCCCTGATGCAAACAAACATAAATAAGAAAATAATTGGTCAATCCTCCTTCTGTTCGAACACAAGTAACGGTTATTGTATACATATCTTTAATGACTTGAATATAAGTCATATCAACACCTTTCTTCTCAAGAACTCTCCAAAGGACATCTCTTGGAACTTTATCGCAAGCTTTTTCTAAATCAATACAAATCATATGTAGCTCCTCCTTATTATCTCTTAACTTCTCCATCATACCTCTCAAAAAAAGTATAGCTTCCATAGTAGATCTGCTCGACTTAAATCCAAATTGATTATGAAAATTCTTTGGAATATGTCTTAATCTATGTTCAATTACCCTCTCCCATAATTTTAAAGCATGACATATCAACTTAATTCCTCTATAATTCGAATACTCTTGTGCATTCCCTTTATTTTTAAAAATGGAGACCAAAATACTCTTCCTCCACTCCTCTGACATTTTTTTGAGTTTTTAAAATAATATTAAAGAGTTTAGTAATCCATGAAACCCTCGAATCTCTTAAATATTTCCACACTTCAATTGAAATATCATCAGGTCCTAGAGACTTTCCACCCTTAGTTTTCATTAAAGCCCCCTCAACATCTTTTTTACTAATGCGACGGTAAAAATGAAACTTTTTATTATTATTAACGATATTAATATCACTAAGGTTGTTTGTATTTTTTGAAACTTTATTAAAAAGTTTATCAAAATAACTCACCCATCTATTTTGAATATCTTTTTCTAAGAAAAACACTCTTTGATTTTCATCTTTAATACTTACTTAGTTAAATCTTTACTTTTCGTTTTTCTTTGTTTAGTTTATACATATACTTTTCACCCCCTTAGTTTCTAAACTATTATAAAGATTAAAAGTAAAATTCTTGACATTGTAAATTATTTTTTTAGACTCTTTATGTATCACCTTATATTTTTCCCAATTCTCTAAGCTTTTACGCTTATGTCATTTTTTATAACATAACTTCTTATATTTTAACTTTTCATACATGTAACATTTCATACATGTTATTCTTCCACCACCAACTATTTTTATTTATAGAAACTTTTTTTTAGATTCTCCAAATACAATTTTTGTCGCTTCTTTAATAATTTTTTTTTCCACATACAATTTGCTTCTTCATGAACATTGCAAGTTTGGAAATCTTGAATTTTACTCATAAAAATAATTTTATTTGTGTTTTTTATGTACATCCATCTAATTCTATGATGATGATTCATATTATTCTTTATTTTAGAACTCTTCATCTTAAAATCTAGAACTAATAATCGACATTGAGTACTTAAATCCTCACTTGGAATGACCTTACAAGCTTTACATTCTTGACGATCTCTTCTTCTTCTAAGAAAATAATAAATTTGTGTTTTATTAGATCCATTTTTATGATTAATAATATGCCCATCCTTTTTCTTGAATAAAATATTAGCAATAACAAAATCATACGCTAAAACAAAGTCTAATATGACTCTATCTTCTTCATTAATCACTCCAAAACCGTAGCCACCATGAATATTTCTAAAATCTTCTACCATTCAACCGATATGTTCATTTAAATCTCCTTCAATTTTTCTTTCTTTAAGAAGTAACATTTGTATTAAGTCTTCTAAGTCATTCCAAAATTTACCTTTAGAGCCTATATCTAAACCTACTTAAGGAGCATAAGTACTTATAATATTAAAAATCTTAGTATTAGCCATAATCTTAAGGGTTATAGTTCTATTTCTAACTCTATTTATTTTGACAATATTGTCTTTCAAACTATTATTTATAATTACAACTACAATACAGCTACAACATTTCTAGTGTGACTCTTACCTGAATACTAAAGTTTAAAACCTAAGTTATCAATCTCCTTAGCATTTTCTCCAACCCAATTAGTTTCATGACCACATAAGATATTTATTTATCTTTCTATGAATCATAATATCAACTAATTCCAAGTTTACCAATGAGAGTTTCTATATTCCAATGTCCTATAATAATATTAGTATCATGGACTAACTTCTTTATCCGTATCCGTCCGTAATATGAGAACCCTTACTTATTTGACACTACACTCGGGTGTCGGCGTAACGTCACTTGCATACTTTTCACTCTATAAAAAAATACAGCATGTCCCTTCCAAGGGATGCCTTAACACTTACACGATGATCAAAAGGAGAAAAAAGAAATGAAAAAAAGGGAGAGAAACCATGAAAATTTGGGAGAGAGGTGTTGGGAGGTCATTTGTCAATAGCTTGCTCGCAAATGGAAGGAAGAGGGACATGAGGAATTTTGGGCTGCTACTCGATATTAAATCAAGAAACTAGAGATTACATATATGCAACAATGTCAGCAAAAAATAATTTTACTAAGAATATCATGTCGTGGTCTGTTTGTTGTTTTTTTTGAGGCAATTTCAGTCCAATATTGGTGCACACCAAAAACCAGTTCTAGTCCATCCATTTAATGGCTGATTTTCAACGGTGAATTTAGTAGAAGACAAGAATGATAATGTACAACAAGAATTTACTTGCACAAATCTTGAGGAGGCGAATGGAGGCCTAAAGAATATGGATTATTCACCATAAGATCGTCCAGTCTCTTAAGACGACTAATCAAAGAGAATGAAAGACCCGCCAAATACCGCTCGACCGCTTCAGTACTTACTTCCTAGTAGCTACTTTTGTGAAAATCAACAATCACTTGGGATGAGATTCTCAGGACTAATCAAAGAGAATGAAAGACCCGCCAAATACCACTCGACCGCTTCAGTACTTACTTCCTAGTAGCTCAACAATCACTTGGGATGAGATTCTCAGTATGGACATATTGATCGAAGGTTGGTTGTTTGTCATATTATGATAATTCACCCTTTATCCGATGAAACAATCATACTTGAGGACGCTGTGTCTTCACATTCGATCTTCGCATAGTGGGCGATTGAAGACCATTAATCTATTGAAAGGATGCATGATTGACGGGATGAATCCTAGCCTACTGAACGAATTCCAAGCAACTAAATTGGGCAGTTATGAATGTAAAATATTGTTCAAGACAGTTCCACAAATATACTAGCATTAACAGCAGTTAACGTCACTGTATTGTTCAGTTATGGGGTCAGAATAAATGTTGTTCAGTTACAAATGTGTAAATGTAATGTCTCAATAATTATAGTAACATTCACTTTTTAAATAAAGACAATCATGTAATTTTTCAGGTCCTACCTATCAACAATAAATAGGAGGATCATTTTCAAAAAAATGGTCTCCGAATGGAATTCTCGCTAAAAATACAAAGTGTTCAAATCTTCTTTCTTCCCTTTTTCATCCGACTAAATCTCTACTTCTTAGGCGTGATCCACAAGATAATTTAAGATCCAATAGATAGAAATATGCTGACCTTTTGTCTGATTGTCACACAAAAACTAAAAATATTATCATTCAACTTCAGATAATTCGGTTGGGAAAAAATCATTTGACTATGTCCGTCGATTTCTATAAGCTTTCATGTAGTGTGATCTTATGAAAGATTTAAAAGACAATATTTTTTATGCGTTTTTAACTGTGGAATAAAAATCTACCATAAATATGCCAAAACCATAAATTTCCTATGAATTTGATTAATTTTCTCGTGTATTTTTCTTAATTACTTTTCATGCGAGGCATTCTATTCTCATTTGTACCAAATGACTTATATTGAGTCTTTTTTTATTGAATATGAGTTTCAAATTTGTTGAATGTAATTTAGAATCATTGCAATATAAAATTTCCTTGATTATTTAAATATTTCACTCATCAAAGTAACTCCAATTGTGTGGTTTAGATCATAATATCTTTTTCCATATATTAATTTTCTCCCACATAATTGAATCACTCATCCATTACCTTGTTAGCTTAGCATGTTTAATTGAATATTTTGCTTCCAAGTTGGTCATAAAAACTAAAAGTTAAATACTATCATCACACAAGTATCAGTTAAACAGAGTTGTAACTGCTTCATCATCCTCTCAAATGTACAAATTAAAGATACAAAACAACAAAGAAAGGGTCCATAGTGTACACAGTATGTATACTTCAATTTTCTGAATAAAATTAAGAAACATGACACATTGCTGAATGATCCTGGAAGATGTGATCAAAAGACAAGTCAGACAACGGGCAGTCCAGCTTCTAAATTCTGCCTCAATGTCTTCCTTAGAATCTTCCCCGATGGTGATTTGGGAATCGCTTTGACGAAGAACACCTTACTAATCCTCTTGTAAAACACCACCTGTTCATTAAATTCATTCAAAATTACATTCATCACATGCAAATATAAAAAGCAATTATTTATTGGTGATCAAATTAAGGGTACATTTGCGGTAGATTGTGTTAATCCAGATAAACCGTTTATCTGGAAACGTTCTACATTTAGTGTAAAAAATCAACTGCGTTTTCAGATAAGCTGTTCAAACGCAGTTTACAAACGATGAGACGGCATTTTGAAAACACCGCCGCAACGGATAAATTGTCCCAAAGGGAGCCTAATGTCACGCTCCGCGACATTCGAGAAATCATCG